TCAAGTTCTCCTCCAGCTGGCCAATATAGAGATAATCCGTTGCTTTGTAGGTCTCCATGATGAAGCGCCACGCCATGTGATTATGCGGCTCACCTTACTAGTAACACTACATCATCCACTCACTTAGTAGATAGTTTTCTCCCTTTTGAACAAGATGACGCTGCTACTAGTAATGCTGGTGCCTCGTGTGCTTGTGGAGATGGGGGGCCAGCATCGCAAGCAGGTGCAGCATTACAGGGCGCCCAAGTTAAACCTCAACAATGCTCTTGCGCATTGGATCCTCTCCAATCGACTGTCGATCAGCCAGATCAACGCCTTGCTGGAAATCCTGCACAAGACCATTCTTGAAATTCAGGATTGGAAGACCTACCATGATGTTCAAGCGTACGCAGAGTCCAAGGCCACTGATGGCCACCGAGGGTGGTGACGGATGACCATCAAGTCGCAAAACAGAGCGTGGCTGAAATTTTGGTACTGTGATCCTTTGATTGCTCTACAGGACATGTTGAAGCACCCTAAACTGGCCCTAAGATGTTGTTTTGTGCAGATCCTCAATACCTTGGTAACGTAAGGGTGTTTAGCACTCCAGAAACTAGCCTTTGGTGGGAGAGGTTTCTAACATTGGTGCGTGCGGAAGATCCGGATGGAGTAGTAGCTGCTTTAATTCTTGCAAGCGATGAAACGCATATGGATCATAGAGGGAAAGCGAAGAGGCATCCCGTGTATCTCACACTGGGAAACATTGATAAGGATGATATGTGGCAACCATAAGGACACGTGCTTCTAGCGCTTCTCCCTGGGTTTCATGCCAAGTACAACATGGTGGACAATATTCACGTCCATAACTACATCATGAGGGAGGTGTTGCAATCTCTCAAGACGGCGTCCTACACTGGCATTGCAATAAAGAACGCAGCAAGAGATAGCATCAACGTGTGGCCCTATTTGTATACATATGTGTCAGACTACCTAGTTTCGTGCAAAATCACTTGCACCAAGTCGTTGGGAACCATATTCCCCTGTTCGATTTGCAAGGTCGATAAGAGACATTTGGCAGTGCTGCAAGATTGTATCCATGCTCAAGCACCATGCGAGAAGGATAATATTGTGCGTGACATTTTGGAAGGCCGGTTCGCGCACGATGCGGTCGCAACCTTGTCCACACACCCAGTGCAGGTAAATATCATTATGGTTGTTGTTTTGGGTGTACCCTATCCGTATAGGACCACTTCTCACTAACACCGTGAGGCTGGTTTTGGCTTGTGCAGAGCTTCCTTGGTGGTTGGAGGTGGAAGTCCAACACGATTTTGAACCCGTACCTTGCGGTGCTGCCCGATGTGATGCACCAAGCGGATCTGGGCATCTTTGAGCACATTGCGGACTTCATACGAGTGGCCTTCAGCAAGGAGTTTTAGAAAATCCACCACTCCTGGGCGGGCATCCATAGGTCTCGACCGCGAGTGGAAAAAACTTCACCCACCCTGGGCGGTCCTTGTAGTGGTCATGTTTCTTGGCCGCTACCTCTTGTGCCGCCCACCCGCGCCCTTTGGTCGCATTTTCATTTCAGGTATTGATAGGGTCTGTGATTGTCACGTCACATATGTACACGGCTGCCGAGGAGCGGTCACGCATTGCTATGTCAACTTTCTTCTCCTCTACGAGGTTGAAATTGGCAGTTTCCTTATGCACCATGAAACCGGCGTCCTGCGCCATTCGCGCGCATTCGTCACGAAGCTCGTTGTGCATGTTGATTCGCGGCCCCCCCTGTATTGCACCGCAGCAGGTGATTCTGGAGACGGTTGTCAGGGATCTTCACGTGCTTCCTGCAGTTGCACGCCCCGGGCGCGGCGAAGGGGAGCCCCAGCCAGAACTGAACTGCGTTGGCGTAGTGGGGGGGCTCTAGACAGAGGGAGGATACCAAGGGTATCGCATTCAACCAATCTCCCGCCCCGTATCTCGACAGGGGTAGTAGCCGCTGTGTGTGGCCGTTATTAGGGTTGGGCCTAATCCCCTGCACCGCCTTGACCTGCACCGAGTAGCGCTGCCCTTGAAATGCAGTGGCAAGCCCGTGCTGCAGCTTGCGATCCGTCGGGGTTGCTCTCTGTGATTGTAGCAGCTCTTGGGCCGGGAGGGGCAGGTTCCCCTCACATTCAGCTAGCCACTCCGAGAGTGGTGATGAGTTGGTATATGGCTCGAGCATCTGCTCCTGTGTTTCTTCTAAGGGGCCGATGCATCCGCTATCCAATGAATCGAGCAACTGATGTGCCTGTGTGAAGCTGGCTAGAAAGTTGTAGTGGCCTACAATTGAAGTGTCAGTCAAACCAAGCCCCTCGAATGACACGGGAAGTGAGGCTTGGGTCCAAGTGCGGGAGGTTTCCGTCTCGCCACGTGGTTGGTTTATGCTGTAAGCAGTAAGCAACGTCTCAAAAAGCCTCCTTCCCCAGCCAGACTATTCCTCATCGGACAAATTGGGCAGCGGCGTTGTTCGGGCCAGGTAGGACACGCGTCGTGAAATGCGCCGCGACAGTAGCAGCCCCGCCAACTGCGGTTCCATTCTTTCGATCAGCCCCAAGGGTGCGCTCATCGCCTCCAGACTGCTCCGTACAAAGCTTGATGTTGCTGCTGTGTTTCCGATGTAGCTGCCCAGCACCTTCAATCCGTCACTGCTGAGTGGGACACCATCGGATAAGCGGTGTTCCGTGGTTGTGATGTTCGACCAAGGCGCACACTTGTCCGGATTGTGGGTCTGATCCCTGCCAGGCTGCTTGTGAAGTGATTGAAGGCAGCTACCCACGATGAGGGCTCTCCAATGAACGTAACGTCGTCAGCATACGCCAGGCAGACGACCGAGGGATGCGCTTCTGCGGCCACCTTTAGGGCTGGGTGCATAGTAGCTGCAAATAGAAGGGGGCCGAGAGGGTCGCCCTGGCGAACACCCATCTCGCTGCGCAGCGGCTCGTGGTCAAATGCAGCGTCCAGATGCAGGGAAGATGGCTGGCCATACGCAAATTGGACCAGTGGCAGCAACGGTTCCAGTTGAGAACCCATCAAGGCAGTCGTGATGGCCTGGTAGTCAACGCTGTTGAATGCATTGGCCAAATCTGCCTGCAAGACTAACGGTTCTTGGTTTGTTGTAGTAACCGTGCGGATGACATGGATAACGGCTTCCGCTCCGCAAGATACAGCTACGCCGAACTGCAGAGGGAGGAAGAACTCCCTTGCCGCGACATTCGCCAATGGCAATCGGCCTAGTCCCTCCATCAGCCTTGGTAAGGGCTATCAGGTGTGACGCCGTGAGTAATTTTCCAACTTCCAGAGGCAGTTTCCCTCTCAGCACGGTGTTGACTAGGGCATGGAGGTGAGTGCCCAATGTGCCGTGAACCAGGGCGGATTCTCGTAGGTGCTCGAACGTCGTGCCCGATGGTCCCGCCCCGACCCCATCTTCACATCGTGACAAGACTTTCAGGAAGCTTCCCATTGTCACTGACAGGTAGGAGTCTGGATCTGGTTGGGGCCATAGGAAAATGGGGCGCAATGCACTAGGGTGTTTAGCGCGCAGGGATTTGAGTACATTTGGCGATGGCATGTTGACTTGTGTGGCCTCCAGCGCCATAACCGCCCTCCTGAGGCTGCCACATCGCGCTAATCCTTCATCGCTGAAGTCACCCCCAGCTTGTCAGGTTGGTGTTTTTTTGGGGGGGGGGGGGGGGGGGGGGGGGGTGTCCAATGAGGCCACTGCATTCTGGTACAGAGACTCCCACTCCTCTCGCATGAGCTGTCTCAAACGGCTTCTGGTCGCCTTCCAGTCAGGGAAACGTGGGGAACGTTGGCGCAGCGTCACGCGAGCAACGAAAAGCAGGACACTCGAGGCTGGCACGGAGTCAGGGTCGCTTGCGAGTCACAGCAGCGGAGTCAGAATGACCATTGCGAACAAAAGGCGCAATTTCTCTGGCAGGCGACGTGACAGGAGAGCTTGTCGACTATCGCGTAGCTTCTCAAGGTTCCAGTTACTGGCACACGCGAATATCACATCGTCTTTGGCGACGACTTCTGGTGATTTTTGGGGAGTGGCTGGGTCTGTGGCTGGTTATCCCTCGTGGCGGTTCGAGGAACATTTGCAGGTGATGTGGTTAGAGTTGGATTGGCGGGTTGGTTGGCAGTGGTGGCAGGAATTAGGGACGCGGCTTGGGGCTGTGCTAGAATTCGAGGTTGACTCGGTGGACCCCTGGAATTTGGGGATGCAGCTCGAGAATGGGTTGAGCCAATTCTCTGCCAAGCACGGGTCTGTGACTGAGCCTCTCCTGAGGCATTCAAACTTGAAGAAGAGCTTGTAGCATCTTCCCCTTCTTCAGAAATACTCCGTGACGCTGCAGCTTCTTCATTAGCTCTTGCGGTTTCTGTTATAGCCCTCCTAGCTACAGCCTGGTAAGCATTCTCTGGGCCTCCTCCCCGCGGTCTCCAGCGCGACCTCCGCCTCTCTGTGGCCTGGCCGAGGCTGCCAAGGGACTTGCGTGTCCTCCTTCCGTAGCTTGCGATCTCGAATGTGAGCGTTCTAAGGCCCTCTGTCGACGTGTTTCAGGAGATGGCTACTGAAGCGGAGAAGTCTCTCGTCAACCAAGGTCACACTGCTGAGAGCGTACTTGCTCCACCTCCGACTCATGCGCCTGCCACTGCCGTTCCATTCCCTGCTCATCCTGTTGCTGCTGCGCCGTCACTCCCCTCCGCTCCTTAGGCTGAAGCAGTGCTGCCGAATCCCTCCGTTCTTGCGCCTAGGATCCCCGCGTCTGGCGCAACACTTCCTGCCGTCCAGCAAGAGCTGGTGTCCTCGCCGCTCGTACCAACTGCCGTCGCGGGCTTAGCGCAGGGGACAGCGGCGGGAGGCGGCTCCGACTCGGCCCGCCTGGTGGCCCCTGAACAGGCCGCGGCGCGACCCGTAACTTCTCGTTTCGAGCATCTGGAATGCCACGTGGAGTCGGAGAATCGCGACGCTGCGGGAGGACATGCGGCAAATCATCGGGGTCGCGGTTCTCCTCGTCGGCGCACCGTCCCCCTCGTATCGGTCCGCCCCTCGGGGCGGCCGCAGCGGCTGGTGGGGAGGTCGCAGTCGCGGCCGTGGTGGCCCGAACGAGGTGCAGCAGCTGTGCGATGTGTGTGGCACTTAATGGATCACCGGTTCAAAATGGCATGCCGCCCTAGCCTGCAGCGGCTCCTGTCCCCGTGCCTGCCGTCGAGCGCGCCCTGCCTCTCCAGCCCATGATGGCGGCGCATGCGTACCCCGTCGTCCCGTGGTTCCCTCTGGTTGTCGGAATGGAATTCATGGGGGCGGGAGGAGGAGCGGGGAGGGCGCCGTTCATCCCCCCGCGCCGCATTGCTGTTTTTGCTCTTGGCGATCCCGCTCTTCCCCGTAATCGGGCTGAGGGATCCTTCCCTCGGCAGGTTCTAGTGCCCACGGTGACCGTTGGGCAGTTGTGGCGCTTGGCGGAGTGCTTGCGGGCCCTGCTACTGGTTCAGGTGAACGCCCATGCGTCCGTGATCTAGCCGACCCGAGGGAACACTCTCGATTTGGATCCGAGAGCTGATTGTCTGGCTGTAGCTGGGCAGCTTGCCATGCTTGCTGCGCCCGCGCGGGGTGGCGCAGTGGGCGGACAGGTTGACGAAGCTGTCCGGGTTATGAGAGGGCTCCTGCGCGCAGGGAACGGAGCCGAAGTGATCAGCGCAAGCACAATGGTGCTCCGCCCACTGTGGAGGACCCTGACGGGGATCCTGTCTGCCCTAGAGGCGGATCAGTTGAAGTCTCTATGACCCTACGTGCGTAGATGCGCTGCATTGTTCCGCCTTGAATGAGGTTGATGGTTGACATGCTTGTATGCCTTGCTTTATGGTTGCGCAAACGTTTTGATGACCTTGCCATCCCTAACGCGCGGCCGAAGGCCGCGCTTGCGAGCGACGGCGGCCGAAGAGAAAGGAGGGGCATTGGGGCCCTTGTATAGCTAAGGAGCTGAGGGAAGAGGGCTGAGGGAAGAGGACGGAGGCAAAGTCCTCTCAAGTAGTCCTTCATTGATGTGTGTATAGGTACAGGCAAGGCAACGGCAATCCTAGCAAGCATGTTGGCCTAAGCATGCAAGTTTATAATGGACATAATCACATACAAGGCATGTGAAGGTCCGGCTTGGCATACTTGGCCGCATAGTCTCCACACCCGTCCTTGTGGCTACATCACTACTGGCCTGCTTAACCTCCTGCAGGGCGCCTCAATCCCCTCCTGTCCTGCCCAGCCGAGGAAAGCCTCCTGAGCTTAGGCGGGCCCCTAGGGGTTGACCCGGCCCTCTACTCTCCCAGGTCGAGTACCTGGGCCAGGTCATCCTCGGGGACCTGCCACAGGTCCCCGAGGCTCAGTTCCCACAAGTCACCCGCTGCCTGTGGATGTGCTGCCTCAAGTGCCCTGTCGGACTTGGCCATCAGGGCATTCGCCTGGCAGCGCTTGAGCATGACCGACCACCTCTGTCGGTAGTGCGCCGTGATTTTAGAACTACCCAACCACTGAACCTAACAAGAGAACGTTCACATAAGAACATTTAGATAACTACTACTTAGCTGCGCTTTGCGAAGTCAGCATCGGCAGGTGAAAATTACAACACATGCTTAGTTGGTAATTTTTACCTACCTAGAAGTAGTTCGAAATTGTGTCCAGGTTCAGATTGTGCAGGTGGTTCAATTCGCCCCCAGATTGAACACCCCAAGTTCACGCACGTCTTCGTAGTTTCGAAATTGTGTCCAGGCTGAGATTGTGCAGGTGGTTCAATTCGCCCCCATATAGAATACCCCAAGTTCACGCACTGTTTCCCGGGGTCAATTTCTCAATGTCCCGCAATGTTCCGACATTCCTACTCAAAAGTTCCGAAACGGTCGTACTTTCGTGTCGGAAGGGTTCTCGTGTCGAGACCAGGCTCTTCTGCAGATGCGCCCTCCTCTGCAGATCCAATTTCTGCAGATGCGCTCTCCTCTGCAGCACCACGATCTGCTCCGCAGATTCGCCCTCCTCTGGAGCACCATGATCTGCAGATTCGCCTTGTTCTGCAGAGCTCCACCTCGACCTAGGACGTAAAATTCGCTTCGGCGGAAATCACCTCCTCTGCAAAAAGCGACGACCCTCTCTGCAAGTTCAGTGCAATCTCAACATTCCATTCCTCGTGTGCCCCATTCCCCCTACCTTCCGATCCTCACGTGCGCTTTTCGTCGCTTCACTGCCGTCCGTTTCCCTCATATCTGCGGAAATCGCATTCTCCCTCCCGGCCGTAGTCATTGGCACGCCTCGTCTTGTTCAGCTCCTTCCTCTCTTGCGCGTTTATATCCGTTCCCTATCTCGGCCGTACATCTTTGTTGAAATATATTTCTTGTATAAACTGCTTGTAGCGATAGTTAGTGTAGTGTTACATTGTTTGGTGGTGCACCTTGCTTGCTTTGCATATATCCTTGTACCTTCTCTCTTTATTGAACACTTTTCTCCTTTGCAATTCTCTCGACACCTCCCTCAACCCTAAAACCTAAGCCACTAAGCTACCGTAGCCATGGCTCCTAAATCTTGCTGTCCTTAGTATCTTGACATGGTTTCAGAGCTGTTACGCTCTTGGCCTGTGGGCCCCACGTGCTTCCACTGCTTTCCTGTCTGTCGCGCGCCCCGTGGCGGTTTTCTGCCCGCCGTGCGCCCCGAGACGCGTGGCGGCTTCCTGCTTCACGTGCCACTCCGGGGACCCGCGCGTCCCCCTCCCATCAATGGTCGCGTTGCCCCCCGGGAGCCCGTCGCGTCGCCCCGCAACCCCCGCTACCTCGTTGCGACGCCTTTGCGGGACCCGCGCGACGTCGCCCCTGCTCGTCGCGGCGCCCCCTGGACGCCGCCCCTACTCGTCGCGGCGCCTCTGAGGCACCGCCCCTGCTCGTCGCGGCGCCCCCTGGGCGCTGTCCCTGCTCTCGCGGCGCAACCCCCCCTGGGTGCCGCCTCTGCCTCACCTGCGCCCGCGCCTGCTTTGCAGCAGCGCGCGGGCCTGCCCTGCACCAGCGACGCCGCCCCTGGAGCAGCCGCCACTACAGCAGCCGCCCCTAGCCCCTGGAGAAGCCGCCCCTGCAGCAGCCGCCCCTGGCCCTTGGAGCAGCCGCCACTACAGCAGCCACCCCTGGCCCCTGGAGCAGCCGCCCCTGCAGCAGCCGCCCCTGGCCCCTGGAGCAGCCGCCACTGCAGCAGCCGCCCCTAGCCCCTGGAGCAGCAGCCCCTGCAGCAGCCGCCCCTGGCCCCTGGAGCAGCCGCCACTGCAGCAGCCGCCCCTGGCCCCTGGAGCAGCCGCCCTTGCAGCAGCCGCCCCTGGCCCCTGGAGCAGCCGCCACTGCAGCGCCGCTCCTGGACCCTGTGCAGCTGTGGGGGGAGGGTATGGGGGTGGCGGGTGTGGGGGTGATGAGTGTGGGTGCTACCCTTCCCCTCCTCCTCCTCCTTCTTCGTCTCCCACTGCTGCAGCTGCCGCTGAAGGGGGGTGGATGTGTGGGAGCCGAGGGGAGTGGAGCTAAGGGGGTGTCGTGAGAGTGGAGACAGGGGTGCAGCAAAGGGGTGTGTGAGAAGGGGGTGTGGGACTGTTAGGGGAGGTAGAGCGGAGGTCGCCGTCGTGTCGTCAGCAGCGCTAGTAGTCCGGAGCCCTCGTGCTCTCGGTAGCCCAGCGAGCCTGCTTCGCCAGTCGCTTGTGGGTCCATTGCTCCTGCCGCTCGTCGTAGCCGCGGAGCCAGATACTCCCATAGTCCGGTGCCCTCGTGCGCTCGGTAGCCACTATGCGCGCCGCTCCTGTTGCCCGTGTGACTGCGGCTTCACCTGTCGCCTCCTATCTCCACCCCTGTCACAGTCCCTCCTCCTCCTCACTTCCCCTCTCCTTCTGCTGCGCTTGGTGTACCCCTTCAGGGGTTGTCTCTGCATTGGCTTCCTGCTGCAAGCAGTTTAGGGGGTGTGTTGAAATATATTTCTTATATAAACTGCTTGTAGCGATAGTTAGTGTAGTGTTATATTGTTTGGTGGTGCACCTTGCTTGCTTTGCCTATATCCTTGTACCTTCTCTTTTTATTGAACACTTTTCTCCTTTGCAATTCTCTCGACACCTCCCTCAACCCTAAAACCTAAGCCACTAAGCTACCATAGCTATGGCTCCTAAGTCTTGCTGTCCTTAGTATCTTGACAATCTTTTGCGCGCCTCATGCACCTCTGCCCCTCTTTGTACGTGCACGTACACTCTCTTTCCCCTCTGTTTCTCTTCTCGCGTGCGCCCCCCCTCTCATTCCCCTCATTACTTGCGCCTTCTCTCTCATTCCGCTCTCTTTCTCTTCTCCCGTGCTCCTTCTCCTTCATTCCCCTTTGTTCCTCTCATCCCTTGTGCCTTCTCTATCATTCCCCTCAGTTTCTCTTCTTGCATGCGCCTTCCCTCTCAATCCCCTGTGTTTCTCTCATTCCGTTCACCTTCTCTCTCATTCCCCTCTTTTTCTCTTCTCTTGTGCTCCTTCTCCTTCATTCCCCTCTGCTCCTCTCCTCCCTTGCGCCTTCTCTCTCATTCCCCTCTGTTCCTCTTCTCGCGTGCGCCTTCCCTCTCATTCCCCTCTGTTTCTCTCATTTCGTGCGCCTTCTCTCGAATTCCCCTCTCTTTCTCTTCTCCTGTGCTCCTTCTACTTCATTCCCCTTTGCTCCTCTCTTCCCTTGCGCCTTCTCTATCATTCTACTCGGTCTCTCTTCTTGCGTACGCCTTCCCTCTCAATCCCCTCTGTTTCTCTCATTCCATGCGCCTTCTCTCTCATTCCCCTCACTTTTCTCTTCTCCCGTGCTCCTTCTCCTTCATTCCCCCCTGCTCCTCTCCTCCCTTGCGCCTTCTCTCTCATTCCATGCGCCTTCTCTCTCATTCCCCTCACTTTTCTCTTCTCCCGTGCTCCTTCTCCTTCATTCCCCCCTACTCCTCTCCTCCCTTGCGCCTTCTCTCTCATTCCCCTCAGTTTCTCTTCTTGAATGCGCCTTCCCTCTCATTCCCTTGTTTCTCTCATTCCGTGCGCATTCTCTCCCATTCTCCTCTCTTTCTCTTCTCCCGTGCTCCTTCTCCTTAATTCCACTCTGCTCCTCTCCTCCCTTGCGCCTTCTCTCTCATTCCCCTCTATTTCTCTTCTTCGGTGCACCTTCTTCCTCAATCCCCTCTGTTTCTCTCATCCCTTGCGCCCTCTCTCTCTCCCGTACGTTCGTCCGCTCGGTGCTCAGCCTGCTCCTCCCATCTACTACCCGTATTTTACATCACAAAAACCCTATGCCAAGTTTGGACGAATTTTATTGGGGTTGTCTTCGTTTCAAAAAATCCGGACCCAATTTCGACCGACGGTTGGAATCATTTGATAGGAGCTCCAACACACATCTCGCGACAAGGTTTGGCTCGGGTCAAGTTTCAAATTGGCACGCGAGCTTTTCCGGATGACGTTCGGGCGCAATCCGTTTTGGTGCAATTTCGGTACCAGATTTTTTAAAACTGGATTTTGGTTTTGTTTTATTTTGGGTATTGAGGATTTCAGAATTACATTCAATTTTCCGGGTTACAACAACCATTATTCAGCATTCTAACAACCAGCAGTTTTAGCACCAGGTCAAATAGCCCACGCAATGCTGGGCCGTGCAATCGCCCGGTGGGCAAGAATGACATCTCCAACGTCGCCATCGTCGATGAGGAACTTGTTCGGGAAGACGAACGCACGCTGAGCCGGATCGTGTGGGATCCGCCACTCCACGACGGCAAATTGTATCATCTGTTTGACCTTGTCACACCACTCGAAGTAGTCCGGCCTGTTTTGTTCCGGCTGGGCCGGAATTTGCTTGCGACGCTTATCCTGCAGAAGGGGCCACTCGATCTGCAATGTGGTGTAGGGTTGGGTGGATGGAGTATGGGGGGGGGGGGGGGGGGGGGGGTACGGGTATATGGGCCAACTGAAAGCGGTGAAGACGACACACCCTACGTAACTGCAAATGCCTAAGCGACCAGGGATTTAGATGAAGTATAGGCAAGGGGTTTAGGGGATGAGGCATGGGTGTACAGACACATATCTACATCCTTACCGAAAACAGGCCCCATGCCACCATGCGGCTCTTGAACTTGGTGAACACAACCCCGCCCCTGTTGAAGGAGAGCTTGTACGCATAAGCAAACAAGGGGTTGCTGAAGGGCGTTCCGGTGGCCTTGTCAAAGTGCCAGTTGAGGGCCCACTGTTCTGCATTTTGGGAGGGAGTGTACGGGTGGGGGTGCAGAGAAATCAAGTGGCTGGGTGAGAGTCAGGGTGAGGAACACCGCATGGTTATTTGTAGCTACCATCTGGCATATGGGCAGGGGGATATGGTGTGTTCGAGTCACACATACCATCTCTGTACTCGGCCAGGAGATCCTCGTGGTTGAACCACTTCTTTGGGTGTAGCTCAGTGGGCAGGGTATCCACGAGATGGGTGTAATCGGAGAGGCCCATGCCGGCGTACGTTGCTGGCCTGAGGGTGCTGTTAATTGTTGACCTAGTTGACGACATCTGGTGGTTGAAGACACCCATGGTTGACTTGTCGTTGTGCAACCACAGCAGCTTCAGTGACTCGAGCCCTTCGGCAGACAACTGGACAGCGAACGCCTCGAACACTTCCTCTGTTGGCAGGGTAGCACTAGATTTTCTCCGGGGGGTTCAAAAATAGGAGCTGAGAGCACACTAAGTAGGCTTTGTTCTGCACAGGGGTGTGGGGTATACAACACGACATGGGGAGAGAGAAACCATGAGTTATGACTGTGGCCGCGTGACCACAGGATGGACTGTGTGAACTTTCCACGTCACACCCTCCTGCATCCGCCACGTCTACCAACAACCAGCCCCCCGTACCACGTCACACCCTCCCACCCCATGCCACATCACCCCCCACCCACCTGACACACGTTGCCTTGTCACGCGCCGCTCCCGTGTACCATTCCAAACCGCCATGTCTGCCCCAACCCTCACATTCCGCCACGTCACACCCTTTTGCATCCGCCAACAACCCGCCCTACTTGCCACGTCACACCCCCACCAAGAGCCACGTCACCCCCCACCCACCTGAAACGCCTCTTTGCGTCATGCAACGCACACGTGTACCCTTTTAAACAGCCACGTCATCCCCAACACTCACCTTCCGCCACGTCACACCCACCTGCATCCGCCACGTCATCCCCAACCCTCACCTTCCGCCACGTCACACCCTCCTGCATCCGCCACGTCCACCAAACAACCCCACGTGCCACGTCACACCTTCCTGCATCCGCCACGTCACACCCTCCTGCATCCGCACGTCCACCAACAACCAGCCCCACGTTCCACGTCACACCCTCCTGCATCCGCCACGTCCACCAACAACCAGCCCCCCGTGCCATGTCACACCCTCCCACCCCATGCCACGTCACCCCCCACCCACCTGACACACGTCGCCTTGTCATGCGCCGCTCCCGTGTACCATTCCAAACCGCCATGTCTGCCCCAACCCTCACATTCCGCCACGTCACACCCTTTTGCATCCGCCAACAACCCGCCCTACTTGCCATGTCACACCCCCACCAAGAGCCACGTCACCCCCCACCCACCTGAAACACCTCGCTGCGTCATGCGCCGCACACGCGTACCCTTTTAAACAGCCACGTCATCCCCAACACTCACCTTCCGCCACGTCACACCCACCTGCATCCGCCACGTCATCCCCAACCCTCACCTTCCGCCACGTCACACCCTCCTGCATCCGCCACGTCACACCCTCCTGCATCCGCCACGTCCACCAACAACCAGCCCCCCGTGCCACGTCACACCCTCCCACCCCATGCCAAGTCACCCCCCACCTACCTGAGACACGTTGTCTTGTCACGCGCCGCTCGTGTGTACCATTCCAAACCGCTATGTCTGCCCCAACTCTCACATTCCGCCACGTTACACCCTTTTGCATCCGCCAACAACCCGCCCTACTTGCCACATCACACCCCCCACCAAGAGCCACGTCACCCCCCCCACCCACCTGAAACGCCTCGCCCCCTCATGCGGCACTCCCTTGCACCCTTTCACACCGCCACGTCATATCTCAACCCTCACTTTTTGCCACGTCACACCCACTTGCATCCGCCACGTCCACCATCAACCCGCGCCACTTGCTACGTCACACCCACCCACCCCATGCCACATCACCCCCCACCCACCTGATACGCGTCGCCTTGTCACGCGCCGCTCCCGTGTTCCCTTCGAAACCGCCACGTCAGCCCCAACCCCGCCCTGGTTGCCACGTCAACCCCAACCCGCCCCATTAGGCCCGCCACATACCGGGAATGGGTTTGTCTCCTGCAACACTAGCACTCGTGCCTTGTCCACGGCGCTCATCGGCAGCGAGGTACCAGCCATAGGCAGGGCCGGCATAGCTGGCAGGTACTCCACGACGCAGGCCGAGCTGTGCAAACATGGTGTACATCTCAGACCGCAGCGCCTAGAACTCCTCCCGTGTAACAAACTGCTCGTGCTCCGCACTTTCACCTAGGGCACCCATGAGCGGAGGAAAAGGGTGTGAAGAATCCCCCATCTGGCCAAGGGGATCAGCATCTTCTGCAGCACTCCCGTGTGCCCTCACACTATCACGCTGGCGGGAAAAGGGGAGCTCAGGGAAGGGATTGGTAAAAGTGCCTGCCTGATGCCTGCGCAATGGACCGGCAAGGGGGGAGACCGCCCTGCCCCGGACAGGAGAAGCGTGTAGCGACCGAAATGGGTACGAGGGTGAGGCGAGTGGGGTTTGCGTGACGGGGGCTGGTGGAGGGGATTCGGATTCCTCTCCTCTTGGCGTGCCGGGTGCCGTCGCAGCGACTTTGCTCGGGCCGGTGTATGGCGTGTAGAACCTTGGTGCTCCTGTGGCTAGCGGTGTAGCATTCGCTCTTCCGTCAGCCTTTGTTAGCTGCATCCGTTGCACGCTTACGGGTGGCCCAATGCCTGTAACGCGAGGGGCTGAGATGTAGAGGGAGCCGGAAACAATAATTAGAGTCGATCGGTTTCAATACAGGGCCAGACATGCATGTATAACATCAAAGGTTTGAATCTAAATCGGGTTTAGGGTTGTACTGGTTTGAGACAAGAGGGTTTACCTTGCTTGGTAGATTCGTCGACCCTCTCCTTCCCTGCAGGGGAGAAACAATGTGAAAAAACGGTGTTATTTGGCACGGTTGACCAGATGGTTCAACAACCACGCCAGTTGTATTGGCCACAAAGCTCACCTTTCTGCTGTCCCTTCGGTTTTGGGGCAGCCTGCACCTTCTCGTTGCCACCTTTCCGCGGGGTGCTTTGGCGGACGCTGCGACGTTTACCGGTAGGTTCTTTCTTGCCGGTACCCACTGGAACCCCTTTGCCGCGGCCACCCTTTCCTCCTCCATCCCCTTTTGCTCCCTGGCTCCCTTGCTTTTTACCACCCCCTTCACTTTCGACCTTCACCTTACGCGCCTTCTGTTTGCCCGCTGCTTCGCCGCGCGCGGCGTCAACTGCCCCGCGTTTTCGGGAAGGGCGAGTCCGGCCCCCCACCTTCCCTGTACCACTCACCTATCTGCCACGCCCGCCTCGTCCCTTCACTGGCGCCACATCCTCCTCCTCCTCCTCCTCCTCCTCCTCCTCCTCCTCCTCCTCTTCCTCCTGCTCCTCCTCCTCATCCTCCTCCTCCTCATCCTCCTCCTCCTCCTCCCCCCTCCTCCTCCTCCTCCTCCTCTTCGTCCTCCCCGCCATCATTCTCATCTTTTTCATCCTCCCCAACATCCGCATCCTCTTCATCCTCCTCTTCCTCCGCATCCTCCTCCTCATCCTCCTCCTCCGCATCACTAGGGTGTTCATCGCCCCGTTTGTGCCTCGTCCCCGTCACTGCTTTCTTGCCTCTCCTTCCGCCGGATGTTTTTCTTGCTGCGGGTCAGCCCTTCTGGCGCAATGCTTGACCGCCCGCCTTGCAACTAGCTTCCTTGGCGCCTTGCGTTGTCCCAACTTCCGCGCCTCCGGCGTCGTCAGCACTACCTGTCGTCTGCCGCCTCTTCGCCCGCGTGGTGAGGTCCCCGGGCACG